TGTATGTGTGTGTGTGTTTGTGTGTGTGTGTGTGTGTGTGTGTGTGTGTGTGTGTTCACACTGTTTAAATGATTACAAGCTATTTCATCTAAGCTTTTTCAAACTATACATGTAACATACAAACTATACTACTAACCCTATAACAGAATTTTTCAGTCAGTCATCTGTATTATGAATTCAGAGCATTCAGATTCAATTTAGAGGGTACAAACATTGGTTTTATCCAATGAGTCACATTCATTTCGCAGTAATAATACAATTTACAAAACATTTTATAGGAAAAAGATCTGTTTTAATATGACTGAATGGATAGTTCACCCCAAAATTTAAAAATTCATCAAATAACATTATGACAAAGGGAGGTGAAATAAGACCCCTAGAACTCTATTGTAACAGCTATGGTTATGGAGGTAGGTCTAAAAGGGATGGTTGATTCTGTCATTGATTACTCATCCTCATGTCTTTACAAACCTGTTTGACTCACTTTCTTCTGCAGAACACAAAAGTAGATATTTTGAAGAACATTTGGGTCCAAAACTACTTTTGACCCCACTGAATTTCATTGTATGAACAAAAAAAAAAAACATTTCTCCTAATATCTTCTTTTATATTCTTCAGAAGAGAGTAAGTCAAACATGTTTGTAACAACATGAGGGTGGATAAATGACAGAATTTTTATTTTTGGGTGAACTATCCCTTTCAGACCTTCCTTCATAACTGTAGCTTTTATAGGACAGTTCTAGGGGTCTTATTTAACCTCTCTTTGTCATAATGTTATTTACTGGGATGTAAAAATGAACAACTGCTCATGTTAGTGTTTTTTTTTCTCTTCTTTACAGCAGTGTGTATTCAAAGCATTTTTTTCTGACACCAATCAGAACATAGGGCTTATTGTTGTCAGTTTCCAGCATAGCCATTTGGGGGCAGCATGCTCCATCTGTCTGTCTCGGGTGAAGGATCTGAGCCTTTAATAGGCTGCAGAGGCTTGCTCCCAGCTTGATCTTTTCAAACAGCCGTAAATGAGAGTTTAAAAGCGTGGAAGGCACGCAACCGTCTTTGGGTAAATTACCAACGTGGTAATGAATATTAGAGAGCCAGAGAGATGGCCGACTTACTCCAATTACCCAAGCCAAATAAAGAGAGAGAGATCAGGAAGATGAGAGGCTATGTTCAGCTTCCTCTCTCTCTTTTTTTTTTCTTTTTGGATGCAGATGGTGTCTGAAACCTCGGCTTTTGATTGACATGCTGTGTTGCAGTGTTTTTATTTTAATTTCAGAGCGCTTTTGCAAGGGAGATCTCAGGCGTCTTTAGATGTTCCCCTGTGTGTGGCTGTGGCTGTGTTGTTGTGCGCATGTGTTTTGTTTGTGTGCTTCCGTCTATGAATTTGTGCCCAATTCAGCAGACAGATGACAGATGTGTGAACCATTAAATGTTTGCAGTCATCTTATCTTGTTTTCTTGTCCATTTGCCCTGTATTTGTGTTTTTATGTGTGTCCGTGTGACATTTTTATATATGCATACTTTTTTTTGTGCGTGTTCGAGATTTCATCACATCTCTCTTGCAACCATCACATTACACTCTTTGTAAACCTTACAGAACCCTTCATCAGACCAACATCCTTCCACATTCCTCCTCACAGGAGAGAGGGAGATAGGCAGATAGATGTAGAGGACATCAGTGCTATCGACTCACAATTCTCTTTATCACGCGTTTAGAGTAGCTGTAGAAATCACGCAATTTGTGAAGCTGCTACCGCACACCCTGCACAATGTCATTAGATCGATGCCATTGACCAGACAGCAAGAATGTTCCCTCTTTGTCATACGGGTCCATCACTACAACTGACAGCCCTCCCTGCTGTGAGCTGCCCTATATTTCATGCCATTGTCTTTAGATGTTCTTCAGATTTCCCTGTTCCTGGATTTGAACAGCCTGCTCTTAATGCATCGTGCCATCCCTTTGATCTTTAACCATGGTCTGTGTTTCTATAGATAATGGGAAGTTACAGATGTCTCCTGGAGTAGAAAGCTATTAATGAATAGAGATGGACAGATAGGAGGTGATAGAGAGACAGTTTAGTAAGGAGCAGCTGGAAGGGAGAGTGAGAAAAAGGGGGAATTAAGACAGATTTAATGGCTTGGCTCTTAAGTGAGGTCAGGACAGCTGAAATACCTCAGAACTGATTCTCTGAAATCATTTAAAGTTATTTGTTCTTTAAAAACAATACTCAGCTGGATGTCTAAGTTAGGTCATGCATAATGTTTCTCATGCAGTTCAGAGGCTCAAAGCCAGTGAAGTTTTACCTGGTCTGTCAATCAGCTTTCAGTAAAATTTGTTTCAAATGTAAATAATTGTATTGTATGAATCATAATTATTGGCTTTTTTTTTTTTTTTTTTGCTTAAAAAAAGCACCCAGATCAGCGTACACTACAGTTCAAAAGTTTAGGTGCAAGTAAGGGGTAATTTTTCATTTTTTTGCTTTGAAAGAAATTAATACTTGTATTTAGCAGGGACACATTTACTTGATCAAAAGTGAGCGTAAATACATTTATAATGGTAGAAACTATTTCAAATAAATGTTGTTCTTTTGAACTTCATATTCATCAAAGAATCCTGAATGTATCACTGTTTCCTCAAAAATATTAAGCAGCACCACAAATGATGTTTATTGAGCACCAAATCAGCATATTAGAGTGATTTCTGAAGGATCATGCATGTGACACTGAAGACTGGAGTAATGGTAGGGCTGGACGATATGGCCAAAATTTATATCACGATAACATTCATATAAAACACCCTCGACGCGTTTTGATTTTGAAACGTGCAGTGCTCGTGTTTATTCAACGAAGTCAAACGCCACAAATAAATCAATGTATGGGAAACACTGGTAATGTATATCGAAATATCGGAAATGTGTTTAAAAATCATATCACCGTTATTGAAAAAAATTATATCGCGATACATATTGATATTGAATTATTGTCCAGCCCTAAGTAATGGTTGCTGAAAATTCAGATTTG